TGTGCATCTTCTTTTAGTTTATTACATTATATCTAATCTAATAATTATAAAATGATAAAATGATTGAGAATATAAAGAAAAGAAATGGAAGACAAGAATATGAAAAGACAAAAAATAATTAGAAAGTTTTAATTAGAATTTATTGAAAAATTATTTTAAAAATATAACTACAAATGCAATTATAATATCAAAATGATTACAATTATTATATCATTATTAGCTATAATGTTATTTCATTCTTTATTTAAAAAGATACGTTTTTTTGCCAATGAATTTGAATAGACTATTTTACAATTTAATACCATAATAATGATGATGATTAAAATAAATAGTCACTATTCCTAACCTATTCTATCCTATAATAATAATTCAATTAATTAAAGAGATATATGTACATGATTTCTATTTAAGCTCAGCCCTTCTCCATTCTCCATGCAAACTTTTGATGAAGGAATTTCAGTCAACTAACAATTTCAAAAAGGTATATTACATTTGATATTAGGTATTTGATACTTATTTCATTTTTTTTTTCTAATTACATTATTAATACATTGCAATTCAACATTTTCTTTTGACAATTATTTTGCATCATAGAAAACCCCAAGTTCATAGAAAGAATTAATTTCAAGGAACTATTGGAGAGGATATCTATTCGATTGAATCTAGGCCAACCACAATATCAAACAAATCTAAGTGATGATGGGAATTATGCCTCTAGAGTTCAACTAATCTAAGAAGAGGACTATATTGGCATGAAATTATTTTACAATGGCTATCCTTTTGCAATTATGGAAGAAGCAGAACAATCTGTTGCAGAACATGTTATCTTAGAACTAGAGAAATCTCATGATTTTGCAATTGAATATATTAATTACATCAAAATGCAAGCTCTTGAAAAAGCTTTTCAGAGACAATCTTCTTTGTGTGAAATGGAGAAAGAGAAAGAAGCAGAATATAAAGATCATGTTTCAAGGACTATTGAAGGCATATATACTCAAAATGCCCCCCTAACTTACTAGCTTTGAAGGAGTTTACCCTTGAACTTATAAGTACAAGATTTATAACCCTGAACTTAAAAGTATAAGGATTTATAACCTTAAACTTAAAAGTATAAGGATTTATACCCTTAGGCTAACGGAAGACGTTAAGTCTCAATTAAAGAAAAACTAAGTAGTTAGTCCTCAAAGTATACAAAAGCAATAAGAAAGTCCCAATAAATTCTAATGGCAAATATAGCTTTATATACAAGAATTATAATCAACATTTGCAACCCAATTAAGCAAGTGGTTCATTCTGAAGAAGAAATTCTAGCTGAAATCAAAGAAAATCTTTTAATTGAGTTAAGGAAAAGAATCCAAGGAAAGAAAGAATAAACTCAATAATTGTCACGCCCCAAACCGAGAGCGAAACAGACGCCGTGCACTCGTGAGCGGGGCCCACAAATGCACAAGGCTCTAAACTTATTGAGTTCTTACTTAGCAATTCAGACAATTTAGATCTAAACTTTTTTATTTACCAAGTATTTACCAGTCAGATATACAAAATTTATCACTTCATATATACAGTCATGACTAACACTAAGTTCTGTACACAAAAATTTCTAAGACTAACGGCCTAGCTGCAAAATCTAAGTCCAAAAATGCCTAGCCGTCTAGCTCGTCACTCCCCTGGGCTTCCCACGCGTCGGGTCTCACTACCTGAAATGGTGGACAAGGAAACCGTGAGATAAAATATCTCAGTAAGTAAACATGGGTGCCTGGAATCAAAATTTAAAGCATGCCAAATAATCAATTGAAACATAAACAGAGCGTTTCAATAACAAACCATTAATGCAATTAAAATCACATAGTGGTCTCCTCTATTAGTCATGGCCAGTGTTATAAACCTCCCACTGGCAGGCACACGATTACTAGTGTATGATCCCACTAGTAGGATATCACGAGCGAACCGGTCCTATCACTAACATGTCGACATGTGCTAGCGTTTATAAACCTCCCCCACTAGCGGGGTCACTAATACATGACCACATCGGAGACAAAACCCAGCAAGACTTACAGAAAACCACGATTCACAATCGTTCTCACTTTCAAAAATAAACTGAAGAATCTCATGTGGACATGCTCAATTCCAGAAAATAAGGAAAATAATAAAAGTTCAATTTCCCTTTTTAATCATGCTCAAATGCAAATAAATCCATTTAAGCCTCGCCACCATCTCAGAAAACAATTAAAATATGCTTCAAAAATTTAAGGGCATTACCATAATTTACTTACCTTAATCACACAGGACGAAAGGCCTAATCCAAGTGCTAGGATCACAGGGCAATCAAGGACCTAATCACAATATTCCAAATTAATATATATGTATAGACAATTATATAATTACACGTATACAATTTTCAAACTCATGGACAAGAATTTGGGAGAACCGGCCTTGACAAAAAAATGGCCAATTCACGGAATTCTCCCCTTTTTCTCTTGGACACACCCACAACAGCCAAATTAAGGATTTTCTACTTAAATCATCAACCAACCCATCTTCAAATTGCCAAAACTCATCCCTATTTCAACATAATTTTCGGACAACCCAAGCTCATTTCATACAACCAATTAACTCACAAAGCAGCCATTAATCCACTAATTTTCGAAGATTAGAGAAGCTAACTTACCAAAAATCCTTAACAAGCAAAGCTGGAGCTAGCGGGTATGGGAGGAGCCGGCAAGAAAAATTGGAGAGGAATTCGAGAACCACAAGAAAAACCGGAGCTTATACCCAACAACAGCCGGCGGCAGAGGGAGGAGGAAACAGAACAGATCCGGCGGCTTTTCAATTTTGCAGGTGGGGGCTTCGGTTATGGCTGGTGATGTTCGGCTGCAGAGGAGAAGAAAAACAGAGCAGACGCGAAAATGGCATTAAGTCCCTAACTCACACTTATTTGTTCTTGAAATTTTTGGGGTATTACAATAATACAACTATATAATAGATTAATTAGATTTAGAGAACAGAAAATTAAAAAATTAAAAAAATTGTTGGAATACTAAAATCAACATGAATAAAGAACAAATAGATTGGATTAACATGTATCTACTTAATACATTAGGTAGAAGCATGATCTATATAGAAGATATAATTATCACTGATAAAATTCTTGAGATGGAAACTATCAATGAAAATACTCTAAGAAAGATTAGAGAAATGGGAAAATCCCTTTTTCCATAATTTGATTCTATCAAAGAAAAAATAAATGAAGTAAAAAATTCTAGAGATCTAAATGAAATAAAAGAAGAAATACAATTTATCAAAGACTCAAAAACTTTGATTTCTTGAGTTAAAGATATAGAACTTAAAGTAGAAGAAATTCTTAAGATATTAAAAGCGATTGCTGAAAAATTTGCAATAAAAGTTTAGAAACGTATAATAGAACAATCCCACAACTAGAAAGTGATATTGTAATACCCCAAAAATTTCTAGAATAATTAAGTGTGAGCTAGGGACCTAATTGTGAGAAATTAATATAGTTAAGCTTAACCATAAAATTTTCAAATTTGAGGGACTTAAAAGAGAAAAGAATTAGGATAAGGATTGGCTGATTTTTTTCTTCTTGCTTTCTTCCTCAGCTGCACATTTCTGCTCTTCTTCTTCTCCCTTGCAGCCGAACAAGAAGCCCAAGCCACCGACAACACCCACCATCTTGAGGAACGGTAAAAGCTTGATTTGGCCCATCTTTTCTTGTTCAAGAACAAGATTTAGAACTTAGAAATCTTCCCCCTGCAGAAAAATTTCAGATCTGCTTTGTTCCTTCCCCTTCGTCCGTTGCTCTTGGTTGTGTGGGTGTGAATTTTTCAAGTTTCTGGTAAGGAAACAACCATTAATTCCTCTTTTCTCCCTTGATTTGGCTTGGGTTTACTCTAATTTCTTTTGGTTTCTCCCAATTTCTGGTAGATCCCCTAAATTCTCCTTCAATTTTCGTCGGCTTCCCTAACCCGCCAGCTCCAATTTTGCTTGCTGAATTTTCTAGTATATGTGACACCTCCCTCTAAGTCCAAAATTACCCATTAGTTGTTGAATTTATCCATTAATTGCTGCCCCTACGTTGTCCGAATTTTGTTGACTCAATGCACTCCAAGAGGGGGGTGAATTGGAGTTGGAGAATTTTCGCCTCTTTGCAACCACCAAACAAAAATTAAAGAGAGAGTGAAGAAGAAGAGCTTGCACAATG